TATTAATAAAATATATGTATATAATTCATCGATTCGGTTCGGTTATTTCTTCGGGTTTTTTCGAATAAAACCATAACCAAACCAAATACTATCGGTTTTCAAAAATCTAAAACCAAACCAAACCCAAATAAAATCGATTTTATTTTATCGGTTTGGTTTGGTTTTTCGATTTGGATCGGTTTTTATCCAAACCGTGAACACCCCTACATAAAACAATAACAAACTTTATAATCTTCATATTAGCATTTGATATGTTGATTAGGCTGCAACAAAAACAAAAAAACATAGGGAATCTAAGTTAATTAGTAACTTTAACTTATCAATAGTAAAAACATATATAGATAATGTATTGTCATATTAATTACTGCATAAAATTGGCGTACCATAAACAATGAAACCACGTTGTAGACGTTTACCATCAAAACATAAGCAAAACTAATATTTTAATTTTTAATATTATGCAATATTCAATTAAGTAACTTTTACTATTTGAGGAAAAATTATGTGAAACGAAAAAGTAATATCTACAAGTCCACGATCATGTATATACGTACAATATACACATGTCAATAATTGATTTGATAATTTATTATTGAAAAACTCATACCTGCTCAACTCTGATATAAATTATGTTTGGGACTGTGCTGCAAGAAAATTTAACAATCAAAAAGATAATATATAATAAATCATTGGCAAAAAAAAAACATAAAAATGAATAATATATAACTTGATTAAAAAATTGATTTGAAAAAGGAATAGAAATTTAAGAGTCAATTCACGCTGTAGGGAGGGTTGAAGCCTAGATGTTTTCTTGAACAAACAACAAAATAAAGTTTCTTATACAAATCGTAAAGTCCTGACTGACTTTTCCTGTTCTGAAAACCTTTCAATTCAATAAAAAATCCTTCAAATTATCAATGCTTAGTATTCTAGGAATTAAGAATTATTACTAAAATTAACAGTAATTTACTACTTCCGTTTACTTTTAATTGTCATAATTTTCTTT